GTTATTTTCGGTGTGACGAGGACCTACCCCCAGATCTGAAGCAGCAACATCAACGTGACTACAGTCTGGTTCGAATGTGACTATTCAATTTTTTTTTTGCTACAGTCTGGTTCGAATGCCGTCAAGACTTGCTACGGTGTCAAACCTCCCAAAAAACTCATGTTGTCGCCTCATACATATCACACCACCTTCCTTTCGTTATTTTTAATTTTTTTCTTTTTTTTTCTCTCCAGATCTGAAGCAGCAACATCAACGTGACTACAGTCTGGTTCGAATGTGACTATTCGATTTTTTTTGCTACTTTCTGTTTTCGTGTTCTTGGAAGTTTCTCAGCAACTCATGATTACTTTTGGCATTTAAGGTTTTTTCATTGTGACTGTGTGTGTTTAAATATTAGAGAGAGAGAGGGAGCCTATCATCATACTTGAGTTAGTGGAGTCGATATATATGTATATAATGATTTTTTATCAATTTTTTTATTTATGTATTTTTCAATTTCTCCTTCTTTTTTCTTTTTTTCCAAATCTGAAAATACAGTTCAAATATGTACAGTAGCAGCAACATGACTATAGTCATATTTATGTATTTTTCGAATATGACTACTGTTGAATATCATTGTAGTCATATTCGAATATGTTCTATATTCTCGTTTCAAGTTGACTTGTAATAACAAGATTCAAATTGTGATTTTTTGTGATCTTTTTGTGTGGATGTTGATTGCATTGTTTCCCTAAACAATAGGGAATTTTAGTTGTTTTATATAATTTGATAAACATCACTTTACCTCACTATATAATTGGAATTTTGAAGTTAAAAATTTTAAAAAATGCAATATAAAGAAAGAATATGACTACAGTTGATATAGTCACATATAGTCATATTAGACTATAGTCTTATTCAACTATAGTTATATTCGGCGTAGTACACTTGTCGGGGAAAAAAAATCAATTTTTCGTTAAAAAAAATTAAGAAAATATGCCTATAATCTTATTCAACTATAGTCATATTCGGCGTAGTAAACTTGTCAGGAAAAAAAATCAGTTTTTCGTTTAAAAGAATTTAAGAAAATATTAAAAAAATATGAAAAAAAAATAATTAAAAAAAAAACTTCATCTTGCACGTGGGTTTTGATTTTGTATGTGAAGAAGCAATTTTTCTTTTCTTTTTTAATTTGTTGGCTGATTTTATGGAGTATATTAAGGTGATTTTTATTTTTTTAATTAGTTGGCTAATTTCAAGGGATTTGAATATTGAGTTGGAAAAAAATTACTATTATTTTGGCATTATTTAAGGAAAGGGACGTGTATTACTGGGATGGATTATTTTTTGGTAGGAGATTTTCTAATTTCAGAAGGGTAGTATTGGAATTAATATTTATAGGGGTTTATCACAAAGAAAGATTTAAGGGTTGGACATATCACCATTTATTACTCATCCAAGGGGTTTATTGCTAAAGACCCCCCTTTCTTCTTTCACTTGGTTTCTTCTGTCTCTATAACTCTATATTGAAATTAAATTCCATTTAATTGGCAAAGTTATAATCTTATTCTTTAAATTTGTCTACCTTTCGAAGACGATCGTGCGGCCATTCGGTAACTTTTAGGGGTACAAATTACAACGAAATTTTCGAATTATGTCTACTTGATAAAAAAAAAATCGATTTGGGGATCAACTTTTTCATTGTAATTTCTGATTCTTTTGGAATCGGAATTAGATTCAATTTTTCCATTTACAAACGTTGAAACATCTTCCAAAAATTATTAAAACATAAAATACACGTGGCTGATCATAAATACTAATTATGGTTGGGAAATTTCAGGCAAATCGTATCTGTATATTTGTGAAGTGGACATGCAAATTATATATTACTTCCTCCCTTCCTAAATAAGTGTCGTTTTTTAACTTGATACAAATCTTAAGAATCTCAATAAATATGTCATGATTTTAGGAAAATAGATATTGATGGACCAAAATACCTTGTTTATTAATTAATGCAGGAAAAGTGCTATAGAGTTAATAAATGTAAAATTGAAAAATAAACAATTAATGCAGCATTGTAATTGTAAAATGACAGATAATATGAAACAAAAAAAAATCTCAAAAGAGACAGATATTATGGAACAGGGAGAGTAATACACATTATTTATATTAATGCAAATTATTTGTCGATTTATCTTTCCTTAAGAGGAACTATGAACACATGCACGTACGTATGTAAAATTCTTTGACAAAACCAAAACAATTATATATAAATAATAATTAATTAGGACTTATAGAAGACAACATTTTGATTGTAATTGGCTTAATTAATTTAAATTCATGTCACGTCTATGTGTGTTTATATATAGGTTGCCCTACAATTGAATAAGCTACATGTCTCATGATGCAAACCATTTGTTCATGTGTCATTGGTTCGAAATTAAATATAATTGTATATATATATGCCTCCATATATCTAACATATTTTAATTTCTTGGGTTGCGTTGTCAATGAGTGGCGAGTTCAGAAATTTGTTATATGGTGGATTTAATATTTTTTGGGGTGTTCGGCATGAATAGTCCATAAGGTGTCCGTCCGGTAGGTGTTCTCTACTGCCGGATACAAAACGTATCTGAAATGCGAAAATATTAAGAAGTTAAAGATTCCGTACTATATATATATTGTCAGATAGTTATATTTTTAATTTTCACCAGCAAACATATATAATAAAGTTAGATCGCATGTTCCTATATTATGTAGAAAGAAATACATAGGTACAGTTTGTTATTTTGACACATAAATCAGAGTGAAATATACAGTTAAACATCTATAAATTAATACAGTTGGAATTATGGAAATTCTATTAATTTAGTGAATTATTACGTAATTGAGTTAATAATTTAACATATTTTCACCGAGTCGGAACCGAAAGAAACTATTTTAATCGAGATTTTTAATTTATCGAGTATTAGTTTATCGAGATTCAACTGTAGATAACAATTTATAAGTGAAAATGTCTTAAAGTTTGATGTCAATCACAAATTATCCAAATTTTTTTTTCTCCTTTCGAAATCAACTATCCAAATTGAACATGACCTAAATTGTAGGGAGCTATTGGGGAAAAATTGAGACTCATATTAATTTACAATATAAAAAAACTAAAATGTATATGTATTTTTTTTAATTTTATATAAAATTTAGAATTTATACCCTTATAAATTATAAACATCTTCTATAAATTTAAGGTCTTCATTTTTTTTTATTATTTATATGAAAATAAATTTTATTTCTGGACATCTTAGAATCCAAACACTGCCAACATCGTCATCCTATACAGTTCATATAATATATATGTAATTATATGTTTTAAATAATCATCTACAAATTTAGAGGATATTTAAAGTAATTGCCTCTTTGTGTAATTATAACCACCCATAATCTATGTATTGTCTTATAAAAAATCTCTTATCCAGTAGGTAAATTCGACACTGTAATGGCGGGCCGTATGTTAGACAGCACATGGTTGAGGTATGAGGGGATAATTGTAATTACCTGAGCATGAATAATATTTTTTCTTTAATTTGAACTTACTTCGGTGGTAGCCGTAATTTGCTTATAATATATTAAAGGGTAAATTACAACCACCCCTGATGTATGGTCAAATTACGAAAACCCCCTCTTATTTAGGTAATTACAATCACCTCTGAACGATAAATATTCTTACACGTCTACTCTAGCGGTTTCAAATTTAGTGGAAACTTCTAGATTATATGGAATATTTCTCAATTTAGGACCCGTTATATCCCATTCGAGCTCCACATTTTGAAGTTAGATGATCATAAGATGTGTTTTTTGGCATGTATATATCAGATAGTGGTGCATCATAAACTGTATTTTTGCACAAAACAAGTTCAAATTAGAGAACATTCCACGGAATCTAGATGGTTATGTTGAATTTGACACCATAAGGGTAAAGATGTAAAAAAATTCATAGTCGAGGAGTAAATGTAATTATCCAAAAATAAAAAGTTTTTTTCATAATTTGACCATATCTCAGGGATAGTTGTAATTTACCCTTTATTAAAAGTTTAGACGAATAAGTCTGGAAAAGAGACCCACGTTGAAAAATATCCACCTAAATTAGACCCTCAAGTCAAAAAAAATAAACCTAAGTATTGGGATTATTACCTGCCCCAATTCATATTCATCACTTAGATACATTTAACAATATTATTAAATTCCTTAATCTTGAAACGAAAATCTACATAATTTATTGGGATTGAAGTAATATATATTAATCAGACACGTAGAATTATAGGTCAAGAAAAAACCTTAAAGAAATCCTCAAACAAACTTGTACCAAATTATTCAACAAACTCAATTGGCCCACAAATATATATACATCCAATTTGCAGGACCCCCCTGACAAATTTGCTAACCTTAAATTAATGATTAATGAAATGGAGCAATATAGATATATTTAATCTTAAACGAGGAGACAATATTTTCATGCAACGTCGTCGTACGATCGAGCCACATTAACAAAGATAATTTTAATTTATTATTTGGTCATTTTCATATGAAATATTAAATATGGTTCGTGTTCACTTTTGTTTAAACATGCACGTATGCATATATTTAGTCTATTATTATTATTATTATTATTATTATTATTATTATTATTATTATTATTATTATTATTATATATGTATACATAATTTATTGTCGTTGTATTGAACTCCCATATAATTTTTAATAATTTAGTTTTATATAAAAATAAAATTAAGTATTTTTTTATTAAAAAAATAATAAATAAGTTTAAAGAGTAAGATAAATAAGTTACGAATCGTAATTTAGAACGAGGGGCGAACCCACCATTCGGTAAAGATTATCGGCCGATGGTAATAGGGGCTATTGGAGTACTTAAATAGATCACTAGATGAGTTATGACTGAATAATAATAATTTATTTTATTTTCTTAATTTTATTTATTTAAATTATAAAGAAACTTTCGAAAAAAGGAAAATGATCTCCAAAATTGATATAATTATAAGTTTATTCTCTTTTTATTATTATTTTTTTCTTCTTATCCAAACAACATTAAAGAATAATATAATTTTAAATAAATAAAACTATATAACTTTATAATTTGAGTTCCGGTCATAATAATAATAATAATAATAATAATAATAATAATAATAATAATAATAATAATAATAATAATAATCTTTGAAATATGAGAGTTGTACGTCAAATCAAACAATATATTTTACAAGTATGTATCGGTTTGAAGACATTGGCCGACTCAGTTTTTCATAATCAAAAGTGGATAAGAATTCAGAAAATAGACAGATGATAAATACTCTTGTCCTAACAATTAATTAACTTATTTCATTTACATAAGGAGTTAAAAAACTACTACATGTGACAGCATCTTCTCTTTTCCTTAAATTCTAAATTACCATGATTTCGAGTAATTTTTCAAACAATATTGTTGTCTTGTTTCATTTCGTAATAAAGAAATAGATACACATAAACCATCATATTTATTATCAGAAAACGAAATATGATTTTATTTATGAATTTATTTAATCTTTTAACTTAAAGAAGGGTTTCTTGTATTATATTCAATAGTTGTACTATTTTTATTGGCAAAAATACTTTAACAGACTACTCCATCAGTTCCTAAATAATAGTCGATTTTCAGCTTTGCACAAGTGTTGAGAATTCTAATAAATATTTTGTTTGATTTTTAATGATGTAAACGAGAAAATTAATAGAGTTGAATATATATATGCGCAAAACATGAAAAAAAAAATTGCTTTTATTATAGTATTTGAATTCTAAAGTGACAAATAATATGAAATAAAAATATTTCTCCAAAATTGCCAATTATTGTTGAGCGAAGAACGTATTAACTATCTGAAAAATTCATCGTTAATTCACAAATTGCGTGCTACAAAAAATGCATGTTAGAATTTTTTTATTTTGCTATATGAATAACAGTAAAAAAATCTTAGCAATTCGATATAAGACAGACGTATCGTACCGTACCAAACCGAATAAATTTTTTAAACATATTCTATCAAAAGTTAAAAATGAGAAGATAAATATATAATTAATTAATTATAAATTAATATTAATTAATATCCATCTATTGTTTCCTTCTTCACACACACACACACAAACACACACACATAGTCACACACACGTAACGTGGCAATGACGAAATAGGTGATGTTATGCTGGAGTAAGATTGCATTCACAGGCTGCCACTCTGTAGCGAAACAGTGAAGAAATATATTTAATTATTTTTCTCTACTTTAATTAGATTTTTTTTTTTTTTTAATTTTATTTTTTGGGTGTGGGGTTAAATGTAGCTTTGTGATTGGGTCACCCAATGATTCACTATCTCCACTATCGTGGAGTCGATAACACCAGATCAAACACCCTTTTGTAGTTCATCAGTACCTTTCCCCAAAACCAATGGTGGGCCCACCTAAAAAACACACACACACACACAAACAACATATTAATAAATAATAATATTTTATTCAATCCGAAAATTTGGTACTAGTATATATAGGTGGGTAAGGGGGACTTTTGAGTTCAATTCAACCAAAGTTGTTCTTTTTTAATTTAAATAAATAAATTCAAAAAAAAAGATATTAATATTAATATTATTGTGGAAATTAATAAATAAAAAAAAATGGGGGGGCAGCCTTGCTGCGACAAGCTGGGGGTGAAGAAGGGGCCGTGGACGGCGGAGGAAGACAAGAAGCTGATCAACTTTATATTAACAAACGGCCAATGCTGCTGGCGGGCAGTCCCCAAACTGGCGGGGCTCCGCCGCTGCGGGAAGAGCTGCCGCCTCCGCTGGACTAACTATCTCCGCCCTGACTTGAAGCGTGGGCTTCTCAATCAGGCGGAGGAGCAGTTGGTCATTGATCTTCACTCCCGTTTTGGTAACAGGTATATATATATATATATATATATATATATATATATATATATATATATATATATATATATATATATATATATATAACATGCTTTTCGTTGGTTAAAATATTTTGTTGCATGTTTTTGTTTCCCCTTTTGCACACTTTTTATGTATATTAATAACAAAAAAAAAAAGGTTAGCTTTTTCAATCAAATCTTTTACCACCTAGGTATTTACATTTGCATGTAATTATATATACTAGGTTGTTACACATAGATATATTATGGATAGTCATTCACATATAAAAATACAAATTCATATTGATACTGATATTAATATATATATGCACAAATGGCTGATAATTTTTTATTAGATTCGATTTTCGTTTCATCAAGCGTAACATAAATTTGACCTGGTACAATTAAACTAAAAAGGTGACTCGTCGATTTCAATTTGTTCGTACTTTGGAGTAGAGTTGAAACAAAATGACCACTCACATGATGTTGAAAACCTTATTTTGTTTCTTTAATTTACAAAAAAAAAAAAAAAAGATATAGTATTTGTCTTTTTAGGTCTCCAAATGCATAATTGTTTTTTTTTACCAATTTTATCTTAAAAAGTGAAAAGAATAAAATGAGATTGAATATACAAATATGGTTGAAAAAATCAGCCACTCGAAGTGCGATGATTAAACTCTTTTAGTGACATATATTCATGTTATATATATTGCTTTTTTTCAAGCCAATAAAAATTTTGTACTAAGAAAACTTTTTGATTTATTTTTTTAATTTAATAAGGTGGTCGAAAATCGCAGCAAGATTGCCAGGAAGAACAGACAACGAGATCAAGAATCACTGGAACACACACATAAAGAAAAAGCTCATCAAAATGGGCATCGATCCGGTCACTCACGAACCCCTCCACAACGAAACTACCAACAAGGAAAATAGCAACGACAACGACCCAAAAAACACACAATCTCACACACCACAAGGTACTTCTCTAGGCCTGGAAAACGGCACACTGTCCCCAGAGGGGGCCACGGCCCCCTCTGCGGCCAGCCTGGAGGAAAATTCATATAATTCACCAGCATCGACTGATCAAAACAGTACTTCCTCCGAAGATACTGAATCGAACAATGAGAAATTATACGAAAACGATCCCTTGATTAGCTGCCTATTCAATGACGAAGATCCGATTATTGAATCTCCATGGGAATTATTATTACAAGCTCATAGTAATGAACAAGACAATTTGGACAGCTTTTGGGCGATGATGCCTTGGGAAGAAAATTGCCCATGGTTGTTGGATTGTCAAGATTTCGGGATTCATGACTTTGGTTTCGATTCTTTTAATGATTTGGAAATGGTCGACGATGATGCTTTTAATCCCGAAAAATAAATAAATGATCACCAATGAAGGAATCATCATGCACATATTATTATTTATATATATATAGTTTATTTTTATTTTTTGAAAAAAAAAATTGGAACCTTTTTAATTCCTGTGAAGAGGGTTCTCAACTGTCAAAATTAGAGAGGGAATTATGAATTTGAAATTAAATATATTATGTCATATGTGCCACAAAAAGAATGGGCACACATAGTGTAGATAGTGGTTATTATTATTATTATTATTATTATTATATATATATGTGACAGAATATAATGTACATGTAAATATATGTATATGAACATTATCTTATAATTTATGTGTTATTTGTAATTTATCATGCCAATAAAGAGGAAGCTCCTTTTGCTCTTTTTTTTCTTTTTTATTATTTTATTATTTTTATTTTTTAGGTTTTTGAAAAGTAAGATGATTGAGACCATACTTGCTTTATGCATAATTGTGGTAAATTTTAAGGTAATAGTGACAAAAGTTCGAGGCCAGAGCGTAGTGTTATTTGACTGAAGTTCGATTTATAAATTAATTATATTATGTTTGACACTTCTATATTGAATTTTAGGCCGATAAGGTTCTTAAAACTTCTTGCTTATACACAAATGCCGCAGTTATTTAGTGTATTGGGGCAAACTTCGTTCTTATAAAGTAGCTCGTAATCTATGGTTCCAGATTCCAATCGAATCGTGGAGTTTTTATTATATATGCAGAGTACTTCAATTTTCTTATTAGTTAATTAATTTTTATTTTATTTATATATGTTTAATCCTTTGAATACATAATACATGTCTAAAAATATATATAGTTATATTTACACATCCCACAAAGTTGAATATTATTAGAATGGAGAATGGGATTATGTAATTTGGAGTCAAAAGAAGTGAAAAGTTGGATGATGTGTGAAAATGAGCACTTAAATTAATTAGTTGTTAATTAGCTTAATAATTTTCAATGTGATGATCATTAAGAGAAACATACAAACTAAGATGTAGCTTTTGTCACCAATTAATTAATAGAGTGATTTTGAGTGGATAATTTAATCATGGCTCTTATAGAAATAATTAATGTTCACAAAGATACTCATTAAAAAAATTATAATTAAGGACCACTTCACCACACTTTTCATGATCTCCAATGGAGCTTTTTTTGTTGAACAAAAATAGATACTAAATTCAGTCGTTGGTACATTATACTAGGCATATATAATATGTGACAAACTCGTCTTATTAAGGCTGCTAAGGGAATTCAGACTCGAGTTATTTGATTCCGCACTTTCTACACTAACAATTAAGTCATCTTTACGAATGACTAATGCACGTATTTGTTCATATTGAGAGCTAAAGATTTGAAATACATTATCAAAAGAAACAATCCACACAAGCTTAATGAATTTGTTAACTATCGCAGGTTAATTAATTTAATTTGCAAGATCACATCCCTTATTAGTTATCGACGATCAAATGGTGTTAGGAAATGGGTGGTGCGTTGTTTGTTCAAAAATGCACAAGCGCCAACATAATTGGATTCCTGACGTAGCCTCTATTTGGGTTTATGCAACCACATGACTTGACCACACTCGAACTTCTAACGCCTTATAATAACTTACCGACTATGCTTTAGTCTATCGTGGTATCACGAGCTTCTGCTATAGTGTTGTTTGGTGAGAGGTTGAGAGTTCGAATCTGTTTGAGTGCGTGCGTTGTAATGCCATATTGTACGACCAATTTCTTTATTAAAAAAAAAAACACCTTACAACAACTTGAGCCACACAAATGGATTAATTATTGCATTTCACACTACATGCACCATTTTATCACGTTTGATGTTAGGAAAGTTGTACATGTACTAACAATGCAAATATCACAACGTGGCACTAGCCACGCTCAAACATTCACTAATTTACTATTTGACCCATGCTCATAGCGTTTCGTAAATCCTAGATCTGCTGAGATACACAATGTAAATTTTCAATTGTACAGTGCGATTATATTCAATGAATTTCACCAGATGTAAGTTCGGGATTAACAGAGACAATTGATTTCAATAATTTTGCCCACAAATTATACTTCAATATTTATATATATAAAAAAGAAGGAAATAAAAAAAGGAATCAATATCCAAATTAAATATTCCATGTCGGAAATTGGTAGTTAATTTATGTGAGAAGTGAGAATAAGAGCATGAGGATATATAATAGTGGCCCTACGGCCTACACCAAAGATTCACAATATCTCAACACTGGAGTTGGTTGCCCAACTATGTTTTTTTTTTGGGATAGTGGAATTTTGAATCATTTTTAATATTTAATAATAATATTGATTCTTGTGGCTTTCTTTATTTAATATGTTCATGCTTGCAAGATAATGTTGTTTGTGTCACACATATAATTAAAAATAAATAGCTATATACTTTTTATTTTTATTGTTTTTTAATTTTCGGTGTTACATAATTCTTTAATTCAAGAAAATGTAAGAGATAAAAGTTTATACTTTTAATCCCACTTCTAATAATTATGATGTCATTGATTTCAAAAAATATAAATAAAATCAGCCAAAACTCTTGTGATTGTGTATTTTTGGTAATGTTATTCTAGCACTTGGGTTTTATATTGTGACATTTATTGATGGTGGAGAAATTATTAAATTACCAAATTACCAGGTGAAGTATCTCTTTCATACCTTAAGAACAAAAGAATAGCTTCAGTGGAGTTGCTGTTATTATTATTATGTAATTGTGTACAATTGCAACAACAACAAGAAATAAAAATAAAAAAAAATAAAAATAAAAAAGGAAACAAACAAACAAACATGTGTAACAATCTACAGCAGACTACGAAACTTGGACGAATTGGTTTCTCATGCACCTAACCTATAACCATTAGGTCAATGAAAGAAACTAATTGCCACGTACGACATGACTTAGTCGTTGGAGCAAGTGAGCATATGTTAATTGACCCAGGTTCGACCCCCTTGTTAACAATAGTCTAGGTGGATTTTGTCACACATAGTTAGCTTAGTTTGCTTTACGTTTTTTGTATGATTTGCAAACTGTTATACGAGAATGTAGGTTTACCTAGTGCACCTATATGGCTGGCTGCAACTAAGAAATGAATTTCTTCAAACAGATTGTGGAAATCCTTATCCTTCAACCAAATCGTAGGAGAAAATGTTAATTACGTTTATTTTGAAATCGGCCGATTTGGAATCAGTTCGAAGTAATTTTATTCTTTATACTAAAAAATAAATAGTCGAACTGCCAGATTAACCCGTTAGAATTGTCGGTTCAAAACGACCAACGAATCGCGATTGTTAATCTACAACCGTCACAAAATCATGTCCGCTAAAAAAAATTGATTTAATCTTTGTAGAAAAATATAAATTAGTTTCTTTATTTCCTTTTCTTTCTTTTTATTGGGGTTTATGAAGTCATCATGATCACTATTGACATCACCAAAACATGAACTTTGTAGTAAAATGCTTTATAGAAAGAAAAAAGTACAAGTATTTTAAGCATGGTCATTGTTAAAGTCTATAGGCTCTTCAATGTTTGTTGAAAGAATTGGTAAAAAGTAGTACTTTGTGATCTACCAACCCCTACCAAATATGAAGTCGCATGCAAAAAATAAAATAAATAAATAAATAAATAGATAATAAAAAAATAAAATAAAAAAGGACGTCACATACAATCTGTCTCAAGTACAAAAGTGTGAGGAAAAGGAAGACAATTAATTAAATTCAACTATGAATCACTATATCCACAATGGTTGGTGGATCAGGATGACAAGAAAACCCGATCCGCTAGCTACCCATGGATATCCACTTCGTTTAAAACTCGTTACCGTAACTATTAAGGGTTATAATGATTTTAATAAAAGAAATACAACCCGTCACATTCTTGATATGGTTCTGGTTTTATCTCATCAGTAATGGGTACCCAAACATTTAATATATATATATATATATATATATATATATATATAATTCAGTTAAAGTATAAATAAAGTATTAAATTAAATAACATAGAAATAATATAACATTCTAATGATTTGCTCAAGCATATAACAAATTACGTATGATTCCATTCAATTGTACATCCTAAGTTTCATACATCTGAAATTATTTATTTACATTTTTAAGATATTGTAGTAAATATTGCTATTGTAATCATCTTTTTGTTGTTGTGGAACTTCAATTGATGAAGCGTCTCATTTCATTTTATATAATTAGCTTAAAGTTATTAATTTAAATGGTAAATGGATATCCGATTGGTGGTGATGGTATTTAGAATGATTATAATTTGAGATATACTTAATGATAATGGTTTTACTATTTCACTTTTTCGAGGATAAAAGAAAAATAAACAATCATACTGTTACTGTGGCACCAGCTGCCCTTTTTTAGGCATGTCTAAGGGCCCGTTTGACAGGATTAAGTGCTGAATGCTGAATGCTGAATGTGTGTCTGAATAGCTAAGAGCTGTGTCTGAATGCTGAATGCTGATCAATTAAGTCCATTTGATAACTGAATATCAGTGACATCTGAATAATGTTGTTTTCCTATTATACCCTTATTTAAGTGCTGACATTTCATTTTTTTAATCAAATTTGATTAACCTATATGTATAAAATTTTAATGGAATGGAATAAAATATTGGCAAAAAACAAATATATGTATAAACACAAATTTTAAGCAGTATATACTTTATCAATAAAATATAAAATTTATCGGACATTAAACATCTTGAGATAGAATAAATTTAAAATATTTAACATAAATAAAATATAAATTTAAAATATAAAATTCCAATAATTAATAAATATATCATTCATAAATAAAAGTAGCTAAAATATAAAAATAAATTAAAGTCGCTAAAATTGACATAAAAGATTAAAGTCGCTTTCAATAAGTTATAATTGATCTCTCAATGCATCAACCTGGTTGCTATTTCATCGCGCACATTCGCCATATATTGCATATCTTCTTCCCCCCACCATGGACCAGTAGTTGTACCATCATTCTCATGGTCTTGTCCATCCTCATTCGGACCATCAAACGGCATATTAGGTTGATCAAGCTCTTCAAAAAATTTATCATTAATACGCTCTTTTCTTATAAAATTATGCACCGCAAAACAAGCAATCACGATATTTCTCTGCACATCAAACGAGAAAGGCGCCATCTTTTCTAAAATCGGAAATCTATTTTTCAGAACTCCATAAGTTCGTTCAATGACATTCCTTAATTGAGCATGAGCATGGTTAAATTTTTCTTCTTTAGTCAAAGCACGCCTACGACGATAGTCTCCTAACCAATATCGCACATTACGATACGGAGCCATAAATCCTCTAGTATGCGTGTATGCAGCATCACAAAGATAGTATTTACCTGTAATCATTATAAAAATAATACAACACCAGATTCAACGTATAAATAATTGGAATTTAATGTGAATTTAAAGTAATACCAGCGGGAGGCCATGGAAAACCGTTTCTCGGATCAGCAACTGTATCCGTTAAGACTCTTGAATCATGTGTTACCCCTTCCCAGCCTGCCCAAACGAACGTAAATATCATATTAAAGTCGCATATTCCTAAAACATTTTGAAAGCATTCTCCCTTTCCTCTACCCCTATACATGGTTTGTTTTGAAATTGGAACAATGGCATGTACCAGTGTTCCATCAAGTGCACCAACTGCTCCCTGTATTTAAATTAAAAAAAAGTTACAAAAACAAGAAGATAATTAAATAATTACCGAAAAAATGACATGATGCAATATCTACCTTAAAAATTCGTTGTAACCTCCTAAAATTTGCCGAAATATTTGGATTCGGATCAAATGTTGTAGGTACTATTATCTCCCTTGCCATATTCATCATTGCACTCAACACTTCGTGAAAATACACATGAACTGTTTGTGAAGAGTGTTGAAATCTACGCTTCACTACTCGAAGACGCTTATTATGCCCAATAATTTGCAAGAACATTGCCATTTTTTCTTCTACTGATACATGTTTACTATCATGTAGCCACCCTCGTTGTCTAAAATGCATGCTCAAACGAATATATGCAACACGAGACATGCGCATTAATTCAATACACTGTGTGTCTGATCCAGACAATAGCTCTAACGTGTAAGCATGTCCCGACAATGCTGAATTGTTGTCTCTGTTTCTTGGTACACGCATCAAATATTTCGGTCGAATTTGTGTGTACCAATAGATCATCATCAAAATCATAATCTCGTAAATTTCCATATTTTACCTGTCAACAATAAATGAACAGTACAACATTTGAGTATGTACATTTTATAAGCAAAATATTGAATCATAAAGCGAAATCAATTGACAAGGTAAATGTAAAACAAGTCTATCATTATTAAAAACGTAGCAAGTAAACAAGTCTATCGTTACTAAAAAATGAAACTAACAGCATAAAAAGCTTATAATGACTTACGAAACTTCAAATAAATCCACAATCATAAATAAAAAAATACTACTAAATTTTTAAAATTTGATAAATAATCCATTGCATGCGAGTTAAAATTCAAATCCCATATTTCGTCCAATTCTTTTAATCCACGCTTTCAGAACTCCCACATTATCCTTAGGGAGCGCCACCCAAGCTTCTCTATGTCCTGCACAACTACCAAAGATTACAACAGCTGAAACATATAAGTTGTCTTCTTTATCCCATCCAAGTTCATCCAATTTAGCAATGCAATCTGTAACTGAAGGTCCGCTATTATTTTTTATCATAAACTTCAGAGCAGCCGACATCTCTTCTACTAAATTGTTATCACTAGAAGAAGGTTGAATTTTTTTCTTTTTCTTTTTAGGCTTTTCTTCTTGAGACTGACGGCTGGAATCATTAGACTGAGTCTCTGTAGTAGGGGCAAAATATTCGCCTTCATCACCAAACAAAATATCTTCTATGTCATTTTGTACCGTATTTCGAACAGTCGAAGAAAATGAACTAGTGCCAGGATTTGGATCTTGGGAACTAGGTCCCCAAGAATGAACCCCTGTAGCAGTGGTTCCATCAAATAGTGCTCTACAAAGGTTAGGATATGGTAAGGGTGCAAGTCTTAAACTCTTTGCTTTAGGATGCGCCTGTATTTAGGTAACAAATAATTCTTAATATAGTGGAATAGTTAACGAAAAGTACTGAAATAACACAATAAAAAACTTAAGCATTAGACCTTTATATACTCCGTCCACTCATCCTTTGTCATGTTGATGGTGTTGGTCGCATGATTGTAAATGTTGCCTGTTTTCATAGTTAAAGGCAACCAAGCTTGATACTTTTGTTTTAAGTAATCGTATCTATTCTTCATTTGTCTTTGAGAAACCACAAAATTATAATTATTCTTGAGAGTATTCATAATCTTGCTCCAAGATTCCGCCTTAAGACTTCCCCCTTCTCTACCATTTAAAGCAACTTCTTGGATACACGATTCGAGGAAACATTTATCTACTTCGTTATTATTCCATCTGACTCTATTATTTTCATCCGATTCCTCCATTTCTAGACTTATGGATGTTCATGTGCAAAAGAAAAAATAAATCAAAACAACATCACATTCCATTACATCATACAAACAGACACATGATAAAACAAAGAATATGAAGAGCTAAGGGAAAAAATTAAACCCACAAACACATCATATATTATATAGCAAATATTTGGCAGATTAATTATTCAACTATGTTCAAATGAGAAATTTCTCTACAAAAAAATTTTGCACCAAAAAATAACCCCACTATGCAAAATTCAAGACTACCCAACCTGTTCTCCATATTACCGACATGACTAAAAACATTCTCAAAAATTCTTGCCAACAAAAGGTTGACAGTTTAGCACCTCTGTATTTTGTTTTGCTATTTTTGAAAATTAAATAATTTTAGATTAACTATTCTATTTGCAAGTCAAACCATAAGATTTATTAATATAATATCTAGAAATCTCAAATATAATAGGTAATGATTTTTCTCTTGTGTCGGCTCCATTATTTTTGCAGTACATTACATCTAAATAAACTAGATAGAAAAGACAACCCCATTAAATTATCTTATACATTCCTTATTGGTTTGATATAAATATTATTGTATTCTATATAATCATAAAACACTTCGTAGTTAACTGTCGAGAATTATTAAATTCCACTTCATTGAAAAAAATCACAGATTATTTATAACTATATATGCACAAGGTCCTCTGTACTCTAGTTTTAAATAACGTAATTATATATCATAACACAAACACACAGTATAATGACTTGTCGAGAGGAAGATTGATGAAGAACAAAGATATAACTTACTTGTGTGATCGTACAATTTCTGAGTATTGTTTTTTATGTGCTATCAAAGCCGTCGCTCAGAGCAGATTATTGTGGAGATGGAGAACAGAACAGCCGTGTTATGAGGTAGGTCAAGAATTTAAAGTTTTATTAAAGTATAAAAGAGTCCAAGATTCACTCATATATTGTGCTGAGCGAATAAGCGTCATATCTTTGACTGAATCGGTAAGAGATATTCTGTCCCATTCAGAAGTAATTACCAAACGCACTTAACGTGAAATTTGCTTACCGAATCAGCATAGGACTCATTAAGAGGTCCATTAAGTGCAATCAAACGGGCCCTAAATGAGATGTCACGTGTTTTCTATTTTTATTTAGAATTATATATGATTTTTTTTTTTTTTTTTTTTTATTTGGCCTTATAATACGGCTTTACAAGGCACACATGACAGACCCAACTATGGGTGGTAAACAAGTTGTGCCGCTCGTGAGCTCGATGAGTCGGTTCTAGAAAAGATCGAACTCGAGTTTTTCGAGCTCGAGCTTTTTGACGAGTCAAATTCGAGTTTTTTTTTAGTTCTTCGTGAGTTCGGGAGCCGGCTCGCGGCCTTATTGTTATTTATTTAAATAAGTTATAATAATATAAAATATTATAGAAAAAATATAAAAAAAACATATAAATATTAAAAAAATTAGGGTAAATTACAAACACCCCCCTGAGGTATGGCCAAATTACAAAAACACCCCTCTTGTTTGGATAATTACAACCACCCCCTCAACTCATCAAATTTGGTGGAATCTTCGAGATTATATGGAATATTATCACTTTTGTACCCGTTTTATCCCATTCGAACTTTACATTATGAAGCAAGATGACCATAATATGTGATTTTTAGCTTGTATATATCAGTTTGTGGTGCATCGGAAACTGTATTTTTTACACAAAAAGAGTACAAACTAGAGCACATTTCACGGAATCTAGATGACTATGTTGAATTTGGCACCATAAAGGTGGAGGTCTAAGAAAAAATCATAGTTGAGGGGGTAGATGTAATTATCTAAACAAGAGGGGGGTTTTTGTAATTTGACCATACCTCAGGGGGGTGTTTGTAATTTACCCAAAAAATTAATTATTAAAAGTTATTGTTTAATTTGAAATTAATTTATTATAATCTAAAATTGTTAAATAATTAAAAAAAAAAAAAAAAAAAAAAAAAAAAAAAAAAAAACCCAAAAATGAGCTCGAGCCAAAAAAAAAAAAAAAAAAAAAAGCTCGACCTCGGCTCGTTCACACCCTTACACCCTTACACCCAACACATACGGGATTTGAACATAGAAGATAAACCTGGTTGCTTTCTGAACTTCGTGTCAACAAGAATTGTAAGAAAAATAATTAAAAAAAGAAAATGAGTTATTAATTTTTTTTCGAATGAGTATAAACACGAGATAAAATTATAATGACTAGGGTTCATTTGATATAAAAAGAACACGGCTAACTCGATCTCACTTTACCCCTTATATTGTTAATTGTATCACTTGTTTCTATCTTCTTCTACAACAAAAGTTGTATCATTTTTTTGTGTGGATGGGGTGTATAATGAATGTTACACTTAAACGGGGGGATCTAGTTAGAGCAAAAGGGGGCTAAATAGAATTTGGTCTAAAAAGGGGGCTAAATAGAATTTGGTCTAAAAAGGTGGCTAAATAGAATTTGGTCTAAAAAGGGGACAAATTATTGACACCCCCTGAAGTATGCTCACTTACAAAAACCTCTCTCGTGTTTGAGTAATTATAACCACTTCCTCAACTATGTCTTGTTTTACATGTCCATCCTTACAGTGTCAAATTTATCTATTGAATTAGAGTTTTTTCATAAGACAATACATAATTGATGAGTAGTTGTCATTATCCAAATTGGAGAGGTTTTTTCGTAATAAGGGATTACCTTGGGCCCGTAATTTGCTCTAAAAAATATAATAATTAAAATTGATGTAACCAACTTTCTTTTCTAAATATTTTTTTTTTATCTTAAACTAATTGTATTATTTGTTTTCTTTTTGTATTCAGTGAAGAAATAAGAACCCAGTAACTTTAGTGCATATCCATAGACTAAAACAATGAATGCAAAACCTAAAACAAGTGCAGTATAACAGCAGAAAAATTAAGTAGCACACCTATATATATATATATATATATATATATATATATATATATATATATATATATATATAAATAAAAAATAAAAAAGCCTTTAAATCCATTAATCTAGTTAATAGGATGGTAGGTTATGAATTTATTCAAAGTTTAGTTAATGTCACTTTGGTAATCCTAAATAGGACTACCTATGTACCGACAATTTTTTCACACTCAAATAACTCCAGAGGAAAACGAAACAGCAACAATGCAGAATCTCGAAAAAGAAAAAAAAAATAATAACTCTTCGAAGATTTTTCACCAAAGCAAAAACCCATCGAAACTTTGCCTCCGCTGCCACAAACAAGCGAGAATATAGGTTCGTTAATACGCAACAAAAAAGATAAAAATATTTCAAAGCCTAATAGTTTTGTCCGGCCATTAATTTTCCCAATGAAGGATAATACCTAATTACCCTCCGACGCATTGACTTGCTGCCTGAACCTGCGTGCACAATTTGCATAATTCTCGACGAATAGGGCGCATTTCAATGGATCCTTGATATGCTCCTTGTAACACTTCAAACAAGCATCTTTCTCATCCAAACAGGGCATTAGCTTACGATGTGGGAGCTTAAACTCTTTATCGTGAAGTTCCTTTGCTCGTTGAGTTACCTCTTGCAGCATATTCTCCTCTTGCTTCTGCAACTTCTCCACAACTTTCTCGCTCTCGTTAAGTACGGATAAGATTGAATCTAATTCCACGTTTGCCGATTTCTGAGGTGGAACTGGGAGGTATAGAGGAGGTGGCTGAATAGGCCATCCAGTTGAAGAGGGAGCTTTGTAAGTATTCGATTCATCGGAGAGTTGCTGCTTAGGATGTTCTTTCTGGGGTTGCTGTTGTTTAGGTTCTCGAGGAATCTTTTGCTTCGGCTTCCTTGTTTTCCTAGTTACCTTCTCGGAATCATCGGCCAGGTGTTTGACTAGATTGCTGCTTATTTGAATTGTAAATGATTCACCCATGATTGTAATTCGCTTCAAATATCTGCAGAAATTATTCCAATGCAAAAGAGCAGATTTCATATCAGTACCAAAAAGAACACCTTCATAGTCATTTGAGGTGAAACAACCTATTTATGACAGTGTATGGTAAGATTATCTGACCGGCAAATACAATAATTGCGTAGAGTACATTATAATATCTGCAGACGAAGGTAACGAGTGTCCACACAAATACGTCAAAAAACTAATTTAATACTTTTAACAGTTAACCAGTATAGCGCTATGAAGAATCAAGAACAGGGATGAATACATTTGTCATTAACAGCAGCAATTTCATTAATTCGCGACTCTCCAAACAGAAAGCAACCCTATAAGCACAAACCACCACATCAAAAAATTGGTTTTAATGATTTTAGTGGCAAGAGTTCAATTATTCATTGATTATAAGAAAAAACAAAAACTATCGGAAATTGTAAACCATTTCATCTTCATCCAAATACAGATCGCGAACTTCGCATCCGAAATTAGGAATTTGAGCAGAACCGGAGAGGGGATGTAAAATTGGAATCGCAATTCTATATAAATTGTAAAAGAAATAACATGCTAAAACGATGAGCTGCTCAGATTTATGAAGAAAAAACAATTTGAACAGAATCAGAAATTAGGCATCTGGTGTTTACCGCTGTTTGCACCGCCTCTCAAGGGAGTCGATGCTGCTGGTCGTTCTCTTTTGGCAGAATAAGGTTTTGTTTTTTTTCTTTTCATTCGCTGCCAATTAATCAATTTAGGCTCATAGGCTTTGGAGAAAAAAAATATTTCAATCAGGCCCAATAAACGAATTTCAGCCCAATTTTATTTGAGAAGTACAATCCTTAAAAAATCCAGACTTCCCGATTTTAGTACCTATTCTGAATGATTTACCTGTTTAGATATTTTTTTGCAAGTTATGGGATAGTAAAATCGTAAAATCCTACAATTTTACGAATTTTACTCCCGATTTTAACTAACATGAGCATATCAGAAAATTTCATGAGTGTGATGTACACATCAAACAACTAATCTAATTCTGGAGCAACCATTTCTGCAAGTATTGAGGACACAAAGAACAAGCTTATATAACAAATTGAAGTGTTGAAGAATACTCAATTAATAGTTTAATATTCTAGACCTTCTCCCTATTCATGTCTTCATTATTTTACGTTTAAATTATTACCAAAAAAAAAAAAAAGAAGCAGCCAAACATGTCTCTAGTGGTATGCATGATCACTACATAGACGAAAACAAAAATTTAGTCAACGATTCTAACATGTTCCCAAGTTTGTCCATGCTGAACACTGGTAGGAAGCCAGAGAGAGTGGTGATTACTTCTAA